ATTGATTTTGAGGGCAAGGCAAATTAATTGACAATAAAATAATTCTAATATTCTATTTTTTTGCATCGTTCGGAGCTTATTTATTGATTGTAAAAATTTTGTGTGTGAAATGTACTGTATAAAATATACTGTGGTTAAAATTAGAAAAATTTTATAAATAGATAAAAATGCATAAACTAATTCTTGTATGATATAATCATTTAGTGTGATACAATGAATACGTAGAAAGTAACCACCAGATCGATACTGCCCTTGATGTAGAGAGGTTAAACGAAACTGAATATACAACGACAATCATACAGGGTGTCTCGTAAGTTTTTGACAACAGTTTTTGTACAGATAGAGCGGATAAACTGAATCGAAAAGTTCTCTACCATTTTGCAATTTTCGCAATGATTAATGAGATATTAATTACTAAAAATTGCTGAATATTAATTTTTAATAATTTTTTACTCAAATACTATTAAATACTTTACAGAAAAATAGCGTGAGACAAAAATTATTTTTTTTTTTCTTATAAAGTTCTGAGAATTTCAGAATTTTTTAGTATCTTATATTTTTATATTGGTAAAAATAAGAAAATATAGTACTAAAAAGTTGATAAAAAATTCTGAAAAAATTCTTAAAGTTCTATGAGAAGAAAATAAATGATTTTTGTCTGTTGCAGTTTTTTTGTAAAGTTGATAGTATTTGGGTAAAAAAATTATTCAAGACCAATATTCGGCAATTTTTAATAATTAATATCTTGTTAACTATTGTGAAAATTGTAAAATAGTAGAAGACTTTTCGATTCTGTTTAATCCGCTCTATCTGTACAAAAGCAGTTGGCAAAAACTTACGGCACACCCCTCCTATATATATGATTGCTCCTAATATAGGAAGAAAACCTCATATAAATGACAGAAATATTATTTGTAATAATTTGATACAATCCGCAATCTGTTTCACGTATTTTAAAATAATTTTCTTGTATATAACAAGTATTTTTTTTTTAAGTACAAGGAATTATAATATAGACTGTTTCAAATTTATCTCCACATATTAATAAGAATAATAAGAATACGTTTATTATTTTTACGTTATATTAATTAATTTAGTTATCATGTGCTATGAAAAATTATATAGTTTTATCTATGTATATGTCATAACTATCGGTGCTATAGATATGTTTAGAAACACATTATTTAAACAATATTCGCTATCGATTGTTACTTTATTTATTTATTACGACTTTACTGATCCTAAACATTTGGATGTCGAAATGTGAGAAACTATTTAGAGCATATCATATATAAAATTAGTCGTTAAATCTTGTTTGCAAAAAATAATTTGGGTAGAAATATTTTTAAATAAAACAGAATTCTTGTTATATTTAAAAAGTAAAATAAAAGAAGAAGAATTACTCACTACTATATATACTAGGTATTGTCAACACTGCACGTGTGAGATTTCCCAAAATGTTGATTGCAATTCCGGTTACATTGGAATCAGTTTGGAAATTGGTTTTAGTATATCCGCTCAAATTAATTTTGTGTTCTAATTTTTTCTGAGATACATATTTTATTAATTATTTGTCTCTTTTTTTATATGAACGTAACGTTAATTTTTTTTTACCTGGGAAAATTCTGGGATATTTAAAAAACAATTTTTAAATATCTCGATGTTTCGTGAATTAAATTTTGCATTCGAGTAAAATTCGTCGGTTTTTATAACCAAATTTCTTTCTACGTTTACAATGTCACAGTTCAAATTAAGATAGATCTACAAATGTTAAATAATATATTTATCGAGATTTTCACGATTTTTACAAAATTAACTTACTTGACAAGAATCAAAGATTGTTGAACTTTTATTATCGGTAGACAAATGTTTTAATATCTTGAAATTTGAACTATTTTCTATTGAAAAATAATCTGAAATGATATATAAAATAATTATATACAGCTTGCTTATAATATTATTTTTATAATTTATGTGTAAGATCTGTTTTTATATTTTACACATTTTTATGAAATATTTATTTACATTGAAAAATATTCGATTTAATATTGTCGTTAGTTTTTTGTTCATGATTTAATGTGCTCAAAGAATACACTTAATATTCGAATACTTGAATAAATAATGAATATGTATATACGACGAATACTTTTTGGTGTTCATCGAAAAATGAATAAATATTTCTCATTTGATTTGAAGAAATACTTTTTGAATAATAATTATGAATATTTCCAATTTCGTATTCACACCCACTCCGCATTATCTGTACATAGTTTACAAGCATAGAGTAAACAGAAATCTGTAAAAACAGTTTAAATGGTTTAGATTTTTTTTTAATATTTCAAAAGCTAATACATTCTATTGTCTATCTAAAACTGTTAATTTCTAAGGTTTTGCCTCATCACATCTGAATATTATGAATGAAAATAAATAACCTTCATTTTTCTTTCGTTACAGAATCATCAAAGTGCTGATTAGCATAGTGCTAGGCACCAGTTGGTATAAACAACCGTTAAGAGGCAACAGTTGCTTATTGAAGTTTTCTTTTTTTTTTTTTTACTTTACATCTTATTTGAATATTTTGAATAAATATGAATACTCGTAAAATAATCATTATTTTTTTATGAATAAATGTTTTGAAAACCCATAGTTTTGAATCAATTTACGAATACATTTTTTCAACGTCAACATTTTTAATAAATACAACTTATAGCTTAATTACAAATTTTTGTATTCATCGAGCATACTAGTTCATGTTCTTTAAAAAACATTATATATAATACATTATGTATATAAAAATAATAAATCTCATATACATTACGTATTTTATAAAATATCTTACATAAGATGAGCATACTTCATGTTGATGATCACATTTCTTGGCTTATAAATTGATTTTTTAAATCGATATTCAGAGAATATGTAGTTATTCAAAATATGTCTTACAATAAGATATTGACTGATGTTATTAATGTACGTCATATTATTCATAGTCTTATCGAAAATTTCAGATAATTTTTAATTATATGTTATCAACTATCAGAATGTGCAGTTAGAACTTACAATTAGTAATTATCAATATCAGCACAATTCATATAATTTACTTACGTCAATATTTAATCGAACATGATAAACAATGTCAACAACAATGATAATTTTAAAAAAGTTCATTTATGTTAGATCGCATTATATTATTCACGCTATATTAAAATTATTACCATCTCCGTTCTCATTTGGCAAAAATGATAAAATAAGTTTAATATCTTCGAAACCTTTGCTAATTCCCAATTGTTGCATACAGTACCTTTTAACAGAAATATTTTACGGTTTTTATTTTAAAAAATATCGATTTCTTAGAAATACTATTTTTTAAATATAATTCTTTATTTGCGTTTATACAAATATATCCGCAAGCAAGTAGAATAAGATAAAAGTTATATTGAAATGTTTACTATTATTTTTACATAAATATTTTTATTATGCGTAAAACAAACCTAGAACATTTTGTTTTGTTAAAGTCGTTGAAAATCCTTTTCTTCATTAATAAATTTTCTCGACAATCGGAGATTCTCTCTCTCCTCTCTCGTGGAAGAGAGACAAAGAGAGTTTCAGGCTTAGGCGAGTAATCCTTCGCAGTTATTTTGTATGGTCTCGTTTTTGTTTCAATTGATCGTTCAGTTCTCGTATTGCCTATCTCAGATATTCTCACACCTGGTTCATAAGCGTTATTGTTTGACGGGAAAACTTCGGTGAGCGTTGATCCACTGACTGCATTTCTGCATAGAATGCAAGTCACACAGCACGTCACAAAAAGCAGGAACACACGTAATTCCATATCGTGACTGCAACGAAAACTTCGAACGAAAGAGTCGATACAAAAATGTGCGGCATATTTATAAAGTTTCGTTCGCGTAAGTTTACAAAGGGGTGTCTTCAGTTACATTGATGATAACATGAACGCAAAGTAAATTTAGGTGTTAACGCGCGTTATTGCACAATCAAAGGTGTCGTTTTGAGCAAACTTTGATATACGATGCTTCAGTGAACTTATAAATACTATACATTATAATTAATGGACTATTATATTTAATATCTCTTGATACTTGCATTTAATATCTGAACGCTTTGAGCAAACATTTATTGCAAAGTTATGTGATGTTGATAAATATAGTTTCTCACATATTTTTAAATACAAATAAAACACTTTTATCGAAGCGTAAATCGCATATGCTTATATAATTAATTACTAGCGTATGCATGGAGACTAGTATCGAATAAAACAAGTATGGAAATATTAACAAACCACTGAATTTTTATTTATGCAACAGACATTATAATTATTATAAATTATTCTCACACGTGAATATGGATAACTTATAAATATTTAGACATTAAAAAAAGTCATCATAAAAAAGTTGGTAATTCAATATCTATTAAACTGCTGGTAATCAATTACGTAAAAGTGTAAGAATAATCCACGTTGGCTCGCATTATCTTCGTCATTGGTTCTTACGTTCATTGCATCCTGTTCAATATTGATAGTTTGAATAATCTGTCGGAGAATTTAGTCGAAAGGGATTTTTATGAACACATTGTTGTATCTGATTACTTAAGAATTAAATGGATGTACTAACTAAAAGTTATTAAATGCGTAGTAACTTTCGAAAATTTTGCTTAAATTTCTAAAAAAATATTTATTTTTTAGAAAATAATATCCATGTTAAAGCTATATTATATAAACGTTTATTTTTGTTATTTGCTTATTAATATTTTTTTTTATATAAATATTATTGTAAAATGTTTAATAACAGTAGAAGTATAAATTCCTTTTAAGTACGCCAAATATATTAAAAAATTATATAAATTGTGTGTACGATATCTTTACTATAAGCAATACTTGTAAACGAAAGATCTAAAAAAATATTATTAATATTAAATAATATAAAATATTATTATGTGACATTTTTTTAGATTAAATAAATAAGCTGTCATCTTTTTTTTAGATACTGAACTGGATAATTTCATAGGACAAGAGCCAGTCAATATCCAATCTCAATCTCCATTACGGACGAATGAGGATTCTTCCACCAATGCATCTTCTCAGCCAAAAGAGTACAAGGATACCGCAAATCAGCCAGGAAAATCTGGATATCTTACATCGATTCTTTCTTCTCTGCCGAATCTGTCATTATCGATTAAATCCGATTCCTCGGGACCGCAAATAAATCAGATACCCGAGAACACCAGCGAAACAACGCACGAACCTAATCCTTACATAACGCCGCAAGGATATCATGGTTTTCCATCGGAAACACCAGGATTCTTAGCAATTAATCCTCAGGATTCTCGAGGTACAAACTTGCCAGGATTTGCTGCTTTTCCTACTGGTACTGTACCCAATCCTCCACAGCCGGCAGCTCCACCCAGTATATCTCAACCCGGCTATGGTAAATACTTGAATTTATGAATAAAAATTTATAATTAACAAAATTTGAATAAATATTAATACACTTTTCTTTATAGCAAATTTTAAGTATTTACTCTATATACATATGTAACACGATAAGTAATTCGATAGACATAACATAATGCAATTCCAATAACGAATTCTATTGGATACACTCAGTATGTACTGGTACATTAAAATCGTACATACACAAATTAATATAAAAATGTGTTTAACATAAAAGCGGATTAAACCATGAAATCCTCAATACATTTTACTGTGTGGTTGAATAAAATTTGTATTTTATAATTTGATATATTTGCATTTTATTTTTGCATAAATTAAATTACTGTACAATGACTTTAATATGCATTCTAGTGCATCCAATTTGTTATAAAAACTTTAAGGTTAATTTTAATTATAATTTATTTTTACATGTTGCTTATATATGTATATTTAATAAATTTTTGTTGGATGTATTATTTATTGTCTCAGCAAATACAAAGTTATATGTAGTGTACTTGTTAATTATAATTTCCTACTCAACAATATAACTGTAATATAATACATGAACAAATATATTACATGTAACTTTCTATTTGCTGATGAGTATGTAATGATGTACAACACATGTTTCAAATATATCTAATCAAAAACAATTATTATTTTTTGTTAAAGCGCCCGTTTCTTATCGACTTGGTAATCAACGACGCTTAAAGTATGCACCGCCGCCTGATCTAACGTCTAACACCGCAAAGCCATATCTGAATCCAGCATTACAGACGTTCTTGCCAACTCAAAATGTTTCTGCGCTACCAACTATTTTGAATCCATATGAATCGGAGGGATTGGCGCAGGGTAACAATTCTAGCGTACAACAGACTAGCTGTTTGCCCGAACAACTTCCAACGTCTGAGCAGCTATCGCGAAATAGCTCTCTTCACAGCTCGTTTCGTTCCAGTCCAATCGCAACAGGAGCGCAGTATAATTCATCCATAACATCTACAAATCAGAATCCATTTTCTGAAAGTTCTTCCGTGTCTGCACAATTTCCTTCGTCATTGTCTAGACCGATACCTACACGGGTACTGGAGCCTGCAACACCACAGAACACTCCGGCGAACATCTCTTTTCCTGGCTTTGCTCCTTACATAAACCAGGATCTACCACCAACATCTAATTCCGACAAAAAAGTAGCTGTAATTAAGAACTCTAATCAGCTAAATTCACCGCCGGAATTTTCGAAAGGCGGTACTCTCGAGACAACCACAGAATCTACATATAAACCGACATTAATATTGGGGGAAACTGATGCGACATTCACACCAATATCAGCAGCCAAGGTGACAGAGAAATTAGAACATTTACTTGCGGAACAGCAGGAAAATTCATTTATAGCGACTCCTGAAACTCTTACAGAAGTTGACAAAACGTCCAGCGTTACTACTGAATTAACGAAATCTTTCGAATCACAAAGCGACGCGCTAAAGGCTGCAAATGAGATAATCAATAAATCACATGAGGCGAAGTTGAATGATGTACAAGAGAAAGCAGTTCAACCTGGAAGTGACACATGGAGTGACGTGTTTCTTGGGCAAGAGTCAACGACGCAATCAGTGATCTTCCCGGAAATACATACTGATAACAGTCTGATTGCAATAACTCCCCAATCGGCTAAGTCGAACGCACATCCGCCTCAACAGCATTACCAAGCGCAATCGATATCTATGTCAAGCTCCACATTTTATACAGATGAGCCTGCGGAACAAAAGTCCAGCTTAAATTACGTATCACCTATCCAACTTCCGCAAACTTCTTCTTCCGTCGATTTCTACAACGTATCAAAACCAACGAAACAGTCGGCAAGTGTATTCTTTGAATCAGCGAAACTAAATCGGTTTCCAAGTTTTTCATCGCAGGAAAGAAATACAAATTCTCCATTTGCACAATCAGTTAATGCAACAAATAATCTGTTGCAAACTCAAGAAAATTCCACATTTAATTCTAAAGCGATCGATTCCACGGCTCATGTACCATTTTGGAATGTCGATCAATCTTCTCAGTCACAAGTGTTAAGTGCTGCATTCGACCAGTCGACATATACAACGTCTAACCAACCGGTATACACTGCTCCCATTCAACAATCAGCGCCGGTATTTTATAATCCTGCCCAATTTGCGAATGAACCTTCTAAGCAACCGACTTTTTCACATACATACGACCAACGTTCTTCTCAACAACAATCATATCAAAATCCGCTTTACGGAAATAATACTGGGTTACAGCAACCCTACGCTATTCCTGAAAATAATCCTGCATATTCTTCGCCCACTGTATCAATGACAACATCAGTACCTGAACCAACGGGATCAGCCACACTTAGTCCTGTTCAAATGTCGGTTAATTCGCCAACCAATCGCACCACACCAGATACCATTCCACCAAGTTTTCAAAATTGGGTAGGAATATCACATAATTTAAGTTTTTATTTTATTTATAAAATTCAACAAAAATATTCCAAAAATTTATAATTAGTGCCAATAATTAATAATCTTTTAAGATACATTTTTACATATATTTAAACTTATATTTAATACAAAGTAATGAATTATGATTTAATTATCCTTAATGTCAATTTTTCAAAACAAAACAGTGAGTGATTATACATATATATAATATATTAATATTTTTTAGGCTTCTGGATCTTCCGACAAACGAATGCAATATAGACCGGTATATCATCATTGGTTTTACCGTAAGGAAGTGGAGAACAAAACGTTATGGCTACCATTCTCCATGCAGGACAGCTTAAAACTTGAAGAAGTTCATAATTCAAGCGATATCACGCCCGAAACTACAGTAGCTACTGATGGCGGTCGTTATGATGTTGATATTTTACGCCGTCAAAGAGCACCAGTCTATTGGATTGGAACATCTAATGAAGTTAGGCGATGTTCTTGGTTTTTCAAGGGAGCAGCTGAACCAAGATATGTTCCTTACAATGAGAGCACTGCTGTCAAACTTGAGGATGAATATAAACTGGCGTGCCTCTCGAACAACTGGAATCGAAAAGTTGAATTAAATAATGGAGAATATATTGTCTTCCATAGCGCTACAGTGCAGGTTCATTACCTACAACCGGCTTCTCCCGACGTGGCAGGATCTTGGGGAAATAACGCTGTAAGTAGGTCAATTATATATATAATAAATTTAAAATGTCGAATAATGTTTGATAATAAATGAAGGAGTGTATAATATTTTGGAAAATATTTAATTAAAACTTGATTATGAAAACTATTTAGAAAATAAAATAATAAAGAAATTAAATAGTATCTATATAAAAAATTGAAGTATAATTGTTAAAGTGCTCTTTTATTTACAGTGTTAAAGTATAATATTTAATTGCGCAAATGTTATATGATATTATTTCTTTAAACATTTTAATTGCTACTATCAATTTGTCTCTTATAATGCAATTTAATAAAAAAAAAATTTTGCTTTACAGTTCACAATTAAGCTTTCAGTTTTGTTAAGTAACACTACATTATACTTTTAAATATGTTTAGCTTTATATGTATAACTTTCGATTTATATGTTGTAATAAAAAATAACAGCACGCAAAAATATATAATATAAATGTTATACTATTTCGCATTTATTTAATTTATTTTGCAAAGAATTATTTGCTTATATTTTAAAATACTTTTTTATTAATTATTTTATTCTTTTCTTAATTTATTTTTTTATAAATTACTTTTATTATTTAAAATGTGTAAAGAGGTTTTGTAATATTGCACGCATGGTTTTGTTTGATATGGTCGATCCTAATTTCTACAGGCTTCAGAGGACAGTACATATTTACAGGGTTCTGCAAGTAGACCAAAAACTGTTAAAAGAGGAGTAGATGAATTCAATATAGATGAGGGTGAACCTGAGAAAGTGGATCACCTTCTGTTTCTCGTACACGGTATTGGTAGTGTTTGTGATCTGAAGTTTCGCACTGTAGAAGAAGTTGGTAAGTTGCGGAAAAGATTATATTAATTTGAAATAAATTTATTATTATAGTTATTTATATATAAAACTCAAATTATAAATATTAATGTCATTAATTTTTCAGTTGATGAATTCCGAAGTATATCATTTCAATTGGTGCAATCACATTATCGTACTGCATGCGAGCAAGGAATTGTAAATAGAATAGAAGTTTTACCGATTTCCTGGCATACAACGCTTCATTCAGATACGGGAATTGATAAACGACTACAAGCCATCACGTTGGAGAGTATTCCGAAATTGCGACATTTTACTAACGATACTTTACTTGATATACTTTTTTATACTAGTCCTATATATTGTCAAACTATCATGCAAACAGTCGGAAGTGAGCTGAATAGATTGTACTCACTATTTAAAGAAAGAAATCCTATCTTTGATGGAGAAGTATTCTTAGGCGGTCATTCATTAGGTAGTTTGATCATGTTTGATCTATTGTGTCATCAAACACCCGAGAAAGAAGATGAAGATATGGACAACGAGGAAGTGAGTAGCAATAAAAAATGTAAATAAAAAAAATTTATGTATTTTATTTTTAATCTTATAATTTAAATGCTTTCACACTTTTTATATTTAGGCTCTAAAATATTTATTGCAATTGCAGGAAGGTGACAGTATTGGGCCCATTCAGCCAATGCCTGCAGCTATTATCAAGAGACGTCTTAGTAGAAAAGTCAGCTATGTAATGGGAGCTGCAGGAACAGGCCAGCCTTATATACATTATCCGCAACTCACTTTTCGTCCGCGTGCCTTCTTTGCTCTCGGCAGTCCGATTGGCATGTTTGTAACGGTCCGAGGCATCGATACTCTAGGAGAAAATTTTACTCTGCCTACTTGTCCGGCTTTCTTCAATATCTTTCATCCGTTTGATCCGGTAGCTTATCGAGTAGAGTCCTTAATTAATCCTGAAGCCAGCAATTTCCGACCTATGCTGATACCACATCATAAAGGCAGGAAGAGGATGCATTTAGGTGAGTACTTATACCAACAATTTTGGGAGGGCTAACTTCACACTAGCTTCCCAACTTCGAGCAAATTGGATTAAAAAGATCATAATCGATAGATTTTCATTTGCACATTTCGAAAAAATTCGATTTTCCGTTTGCACACTTTTAATTAAAAACTTATTAACAATTAAAATTTCAGGAAGGATCCAAAACGGCAAATAGGTTCAAATCGCATCTACTATGCGTAAAGTAGCATGAAACGATAGGTTTTTGTTTGCACACCTTTAGTTAAAAAGGTATTAATAAATGAAGACCAACTCCACGAAACTTTAAATTAATTGTGATTATGTTTTTAACTAAGGGTGTGCGAATGAAAAATCGAATTGTTTCGAAGTGTGCAAACGAAAATCTATCTATTATGACCTTTTCGATCCAATTTGCTCGAAGTTGAAGGGCTATGAAGTTAGCTCTCCCAAAATTGTTTTTTTAGTAACTTTCTCACTAGAAGTGTGCAAACAAAAATTCAAAGTGTGCATAAATGTGCAAACGATGAGCAATCGAATATATAAGCTATGGAAAATTAATTTTCTCAAATGTTGGGAGGCCAACTTTACACGGGTAATATTTATTGTTAAATTTTTTAATATGCACGTGACGATTTGCGATAATAAATTATGTTCTAGGTTGAACTTACCTACACAACATAAATTATTCTAGCAATGTTGCAATATTCTCGTAATATTGCAATAATATTACAAGTTTACAGCGTTATTGCTGTAAACTTCTGTGTTATATGGATATGTCCTTACTAATATTTATTATTTACAGAATTAAAGGAGACGATGGCACGTGTTGGAGCGGATTTGAAACAAAAATTAATTGATTCCGTAAGGCAAACATGGAACTCTTTCTATCAACTAGCCTTATTTCATAAGCCAGACAACCAAATTCTTGAACGCGAAATTGATAAAGTCGTCGAAGAACAATTACACACACCACCAAGCGTACCAGATCAACATAACAACGATGATGATGGTGCCAATTTAAAAGTAGGAAAACTTAATGGTGGCCGCAGAATAGATTACGTTCTTCAAGAAGCGCCTTTTGAATATATTAATGAATATATTTTTGCTCTTACAAGTCATATCTGTTACTGGTAAGTAGTATATTTCTTACGAGAAATATTTTGCTTTATATACATACTATATACTATTTATAATTTGATTTTAGGGAATCTGAGGATACTATGCTTTTGATATTGAAAGAAATATATGGGTCTAAAGGTATTCAGACTGACGCGCAACTTCCTCAGCAGTCAATGTCAATTGAGAGAGTGTCTCCTTCTCCATCTTTGAATTTAGCAGCTGCCTTGTTACCCAGTAAAAGTAATATAGAAACATCACTTGTTATGGGCGTAGATCCTACAGTGCCTATGTCCAGTAACCCTGTCGGTCCACCACCTAAGACTGGTTTTGTACCGAAATCCTGATCGATGGAATATTTTTCCCATAATTATATGCTACGAGATTAAATTGTATTGGAATAGAAATTAATCTTATAATTAATATTTAATTATAATTAATTATATTAATTATATTATATATTATAATTAATATTTAATTATAATTAATCTCTAATTAATATTTAAAAAAAGGAGCAATTAGATTGACGTTAAAAAAATGGAACGCAGAACAATCAAACTTTGTACTTTACAGTGTCTTTCGATTATTTATAAATTTTAGCATTATTTAATTATATACAAATATCAAGTATTAATTGCACAAAAATTGGCCTATGTATTCAGCTCTTCAAATAAACTTAGTTTATAGCAAATTAATTGTTAGGTAGGTAAAGGATGTAAATAATGATTCGATTGATTGGTATGTTGGAATAATCGGTAACTTTTTATTGCAATTTACGTTTATTATTTGTTTATCTAGTGCATATTTGTATACATTATTGATATTTAGACTATGTGTAATTTTGTATGATCGAAAATATATATGAAGTGTTAACTAGAGAAGAAAGATATGAAAATGAGAATGTGTAAATGAAATAATATGTAAATATATAATTTAGTTGGATAAAAATGTAGTAGATTATATAAAATTTTTTATAATCTGCTTGAACGAATTATGAACATACCAATTTTGATCCTTATGTATGCGCGTATTTTAATAAATTACTGTATTCTTTTATATTATTGTTAATTATCTATATTACCCTTACACATAATTTGATTACAGATTTGCAATTGTGCTGTCAAATATCATTATTTATAATTATTAATAATATTACTTTCAAGTTCATGTCAGTTACGTATAGCGACACGTGACAAAATTATAGAGAATTTCAACTTCAGCAATCTCGACATCGTGCAGTCAGGCAGTGCCAATATGTTCTTTAAAATGGTGTTACATGTTCAATCGGATCAGCGAATGGCGTCACCTTATCGCACAAGCAGCTTTAGCAGGGCTAAAGAAAAAAAGAGAACACTTCGGCACATGCACGGCTATCACGAAACGCTAATTAATTGCGGTGCAAGCCCACCAGGTTCGAGACTGCTTTGCATTTTGCGTGCAGGCCCTCGTAAAACTACATGCCTGTCAGCCCCGGCGAATTTCAAGATGATTTATCGTCCTCGCAAAACTAAGTTTTTCGCGGTACTTCGTGGCTTCTCAGCGGCTCCGAAAGGTACGGCCGACGCTTTCGACATGCAACTGTGGCCGGTGTGGGCACGATCCGTAAAGTTGACGTCGCTGATCGACTGCTATTTTATATCCTCACCATCTAGTCGGACTGACTTTGAAATATGTTTCTTTCAAATCTTTCGATGTGAAGTTTTCGGTGGCACGTTTCACGGTGACCCGCATACGCTATAATTGCGGGGAAATTAAGTGCCGGCTTTTACGTGACGGCGTTTAATACATACGGCTGAACCTGTATTGTCACGCGAATAATCATGCACACGGAAAGTCATGTATATCAATCTTTTCTTAATTTTGTCAAATTATAACAAGAATCGAGAGACGCAAAGACGAAAGACGTATGGACATTGAGTAAATTTCGTAAGCTTCTTCTTACTACAATGTAATATTAATATAATTGTAATCTAAGATGTATCTAAACTTTAATGTTAAATAACTATCTATGTATATAATTGAATCTATATAAATTCTTTGTGTTAAAAAATACTTCGGATTGTTTTCAGAATATATTTAGCAGTTTTTCAAGAACTTGGTAATTAGGAATTTTATAAACATGCAGTTTCTTACTACATCAGATCACTTTTTATTTCTACGGAATATAAAATCTACGGAAAAAATATTAACATACTAATATGTTCTTTTATATAAAAACATATTTTTCTTGAGTTTTCCATCAAATTTGCTATGTTAGAAATGGCTATTCTCGAATATGCTATTCTACATTGTTATTTTCGCATACAATGCTATTCAAATCTGGCTGTCCGACAATTCGATATGCTTTGGTTACTGTGTGTGCATGATGCGCAACCACGTTTCCCTTTTCAACATGCAAATACTCGTACATCGCGAGATAGACGTTTACGCTCAACGGCGGTAACATAAAATGGAGTAAGGGTAAGATTTTATAACAAGCCCTACTAAGAGTGATTTACACCTCGGAAAAACTCCACGACATTTACGATAGCTACTCACGAATTATTTATAGCATCTGGCTATGGCGGGGTGAATTTCACATGTATTTTTCTTTGTTTTTCTGAAGAGATCATTGAGATCATAATGAAGTAGATTGTTAAAAGTTTCTATTAAAACATTGGGGATATCTTATTTAGATAAATTTTAGCTATTAAATTAAAAGCACGAGATAGAAAGCTTAAACGAGTTATTAATATTTAAAAAAACTTATTCTTTTTTTATGATATAATTAATTTGAATAAAGTTTATTGTAAAATGTCTTATATTCCTTTAATGTGTAAGAATGCAGATATAATATTAATATTTTTATTTTAAGATTACCGTGTAAAAAAGAGATCAATAAAAATATTTATACGATACTTACCATCAAACATGAGATGATTTTGAATTTTATTTAAAACGCCGCAATAAAATTATGGAGAAAAATGTATTGTTAGTCTTTACTCATCGAAGTATGAGTATAAATTTATTAACTATTTTCTTATTGATTTAAAATACAAAGTAGTTTAAAATTAGAATTTGCTTATTCTTCATTTTGGCATGCTATTTGTCTGTAAGATCCACGCACGCGCTAAGAGTTTGCAATTTCATTATTAGGAGACTTTAGACATTCTAGTTGGCGTGCATTTAAGTAAAATTAGTTGATTTTAATGTGTAAGTATGCGAGAAGCTGCTGTGTTTAGCAGCTCGTCGCGGCGTGAAACAATTCTCGGACATCGATATGCCAGATGATATGCCAAAAACTTTGTGAGTATTATTCCTTCTTGCAATCATTATTTCGATCATTTTTATCAATTCTATTTGTACTCACATACATGCATATATATATTTTAAATAAATTTATCTATTTACGTCTATATTATTTATTTGCATCTTATTTTGAAGAAATTTATTTAAGTTACTTTAAAGATAAGTTTTTAGAATTAAAACAATTCTATTGGATCTAAAACAATTCTATTTCTTGAAGTACGTTTTTAAACTCTGAAATATTATACATTTTTGTTTATACATTTGTTAATATATATATTACATAAGTTTTATAAAACGTACCTCTCTTTTTTATTCTCTTTTTAATATTTAAATATATCATTTTAAATTAAATATATGTATATATGTTTATGTTTATATTCGATGTAAATATATATGTATATATTTCTCCATTTTTTAAAATTTGCGATATTTTTGTTGCTTTATCATTCTTTCTAATTTTATTTTTCTATTTATGTATAGTTCTATTTATGTAACGCGCAGAACAGATAATTTAAAATAAAACACTAATTTATAACAGACATATATAACATGCGATAAAAAAGAAAATTCTAAGCTGATATCTGTATGTTCTTCAACTTAAAACGTTATATAGACAATTTGGCCCTTTAATGTTTAGTCTCGCATATGAAGTTTCTCTTCCTGTGATTAAATGAAGAAATATTATGGTCATTCGAGCTTAGTTTATGTATGTCCGTATTGCGGTGCATTTTATTCTGCGATACGTATAACGAGTTAATGGCAACTTTATGCACGGATCCGATGACATTTACTATTGCTCTATTCCTGCTCCGCTCACGTAACAGTCGCCCGTATTATCGTATTGTTTCCTGAAGCACTCTTCATTGTTCTTCCATTACGGAAATCGAGCTCTGGCTACGAGTTTAGAATTTATCGTGCGATATGTACAGTCGTGCGCCATGTATGGTATATTCGGAAATTTGGATTTTTGCCTATTTCCGCTCTAATTCGACTGTCGGACATATGGGTTTCTGGCACGTATCCATTCCCTGCTATATTTTCTAGAACAACTCACCGCTTCGTGACTGTGCTACGATCAAGATTTGGCGATCAAATTCGAATTTCAAATTAATCCCATCTAATACTTAGCTTTCATATCTTATGTTAACGTAGATTGTATAAAAATACAATTTGTTTTTTTCATTTAAATTAAAAAAATAGGAGTTAATAATACTTAACATGTATAATTAAGACTA